AGGTCATAAGCACCTGATAGTTCGCGTGAGAGATCTCGACATAACCCTTCTAGAAGATCGAGGGAATCTTCGTCATGTAGAAATTGATGCGTGCTCTATCCGAGTTTATGGCATTCATAAAGGACCGAGAGGCGGAATTGGTGAGGCCCGAGAGGCCATCGCATCCGCGTTTAGATGACACCTCATCTTTTTCGGATGCACCCGTTGCTTTATCGGTAGATTCACATACAGATGGACAGACGGTCCGAGGAACGGACCGGGGCTGCGTACCAGGTGTGTCCCCTTGTTGACCCGTTATTTTTGAAGAATCGGCAAAGAGGGGACGCAACCGACTGTTCCTATCTGTTATGCTAATCCCTTTTTTCAGAAATCTTGCCGAATGTCGACGAGATCTCGCACTCACTGGAGATACCTATTGAGGCAGACGAATCGCTCACTCAGGTAGGAGACCGGGACCGCACGCCTAATTTTTCGGAAAATGGCAACGTCACCTTTTCTAACCCGGTGGTCACGGAGGTGGTCGAGGATTCAAGTACCAACGAGAAAGCATCGGATATTCTTCTCAAGGAATTATTTGGCGAGCGAACTGATTCTCCGGTTGCTACCACTTGGCCGCCTATTATTTTGGATACGATCAAATCTGATGTCCGGTTGGGTCTTAGAGAGGAACTAAAAAATAGCCTCCTCGCCAAATACGAGCCCAAGGAGGAACTTGCTTTTCTCGCTCCTCCTAAAATGAATAAGGAAATTCTTCCAAATCTCGGAGCCACGGTCATCACACGCGATAAATATCAATCGCAATCTCAAGGGGAAGTAGGAGCGTCCTTAAACGCAATTGTTTCTGGCTTCTCGGAGCTCTCTAAGCTAGAATCTCTCCAGGCTTCTTTGGAGGGCAAATCCGCTATCTCCAAGATTGCTGAAGGCATCCGCCTGTTATCAGATCATCATTTTGGCCTGTCTAAAACTAGATGTGCATTCATCGTTCCTTCGCTAAATGTTCTCGGCAAGTGTGCATCCGATTCAGCCGCCATTGACGAATATCTTTTCGGAAATAACTTTGCCGAAGAAATAAATACTGCACAAGCAATCGAAAGAACAGCACACAAGACGGCTAGAAAGATCCAGCAGCCAGTTCAGAGAGTTCAACGTCCTGCAGTTCAACACTTTAAACAGCAGAGAAACCAGCCGTCTCGTATCAACCAATCGTTTCCAAAAAACTTCAAGGCCCCTCCTCACAAGGACTCGTCGACTCATCAGCCGAGGAGGGGCTCTGCCCAGTCGAGTCGCGGCAGGAGGCCGAGGTCCAGATCCCGCCGTTAAATTCAGTAAGGCCAGCAGGTCGTTTGGCCTCTTTTATAGATCATTGGAGAGAAATTACTTCAGATCCTATCGTATTGGAAGCTGTGACGGGTTATAAGATCCCCTTTTGTACCCCGCCTCCACCTCGCCTTTTGGTCAAGGAACCATCGTTTTCCGCAACTCAGACAGAATTGTGTAATTCTGAAATTAAACGTTTACTCCTAAAGGGCGCCTTGGAGAAAGTTCACCCGTCAATCGACCAATTTCTTTCTCCATTTTTTCTCATCAAGAAATCTTCGGGCGGTATGCGATTTATTTTAAATTTGCGGAGGCTGAATTCGTACATCTCTCCTCCACATTTCAAGTTGGAAGACTGGCGCACAGTAATCCGCCTCATGCTTCCTAATTATAAGATGGCTACTATAGACCTCGAGGATGCCTACCTACTGATGCCTATCCATCCGTCACATAGGAAATTTCTTCGTTTTCAGTGGGGAGGTCAGGTGTATGAGTTCAGGGCCCTACCGTTTGGCCTTGCTACCGCCCCCTTCATCTTTACTAAGATTATGCGTCCTGTAGTCAAGTCATTGCGAGAAAGAGGTTTTCACTCAGTAGTTTACCTTGATGATTTTCTACTTTTAGACGCTTCAGACGAAGAATGCCAGAATAACATTTACGCATCACAAAGGTTACTTTTATCTCTAGGTTTTCTCATCAACTATTCAAAATCTCAACTTACGCCTTCTTCAAATGTAAATATTTAGGTTTTA